AATCCTTGAAATTTTGAAAGAAAATTAAATTATTTTCCGGAAAGAGGCAGGCCCATTTAAAATTTTAAAAATCCTTAAAATCCTTAAAATCCTTAAAATTTTGAAAGGTTGGGGCTTTCAAATTTTTAAGGATTTTAAGGAATTTAAGGCCGTTTAAATTTCTTAAAATCCTTAAAATCCTTAAAATTTTGAAAGAAAATTAAATTATTTTCCGGAAAGAGGCAGGCCCATTTAAAATTTTAAAAATCCTTAAAATCCTTAAAATCCTTAAAATTTTGAAAGGTTGGGGCTTTCAAAATTTTAAGGATTTTAAGGAATTTAAGGCCTTTTAAATTTCTTAAAATCCTTAAAAACCTTAAAATCCTGAAAAATTTTGAAAGAAAATTATATTATTTTCCGGAAAGAAGCAGGCCCATTTAAAATTTTAAAAATCCTTAAAATCCTTAAAGTTTTGAAAGCCCAGGCCTTTCAAAATTTTAAGGATTTTAAGGAATTTAAGGCCTTTTAAATTTCTTAAAATCCTTAAAATCCTTAAAATTTTGACAGAAAATTATATTATTTTCCGGAAAGAGGCAGGCCCATTTAATATTTTAAAAATCCTTAAAATCCTTAAAATCCTGAAAATTTTGAAAGGTTGGGGCTTTCAAAATTTTAAGGATTTTAAGGAATTTAGCGCCTTTTAAATTTCTTAAAATCCTTAAAATCCTTAAAATCCTTAAAATCCTTAAAATCCTTAAAATTTTGAAAGAAAATTAAATCATTTTCCGGAAAGAGGCAGGCCCATTTAAAATTTTAAAAATCTTTAAAATCCTTAAAATCCTTAAAATCCTTAAAATCCGTAAAATCCTTAAAATCCTTAAAATCCTTAAAATTTTGAAAGCCCGGGCCTTTCAAAATTTTAAGGATTTTAAGGAATTTAAGGCCTTTTAAATTTCTTAAAATCCTTAAAATCCTTAAAATTTTGAAAGAAAATTAAATTATTTTCCGGAAATGAGGCGCCCCTTAAAATTTTATTAAATCCTTAAAACCTAAATCCTTAAAATTTTTGAAAAGTCCCTGCCTTCAAAATTTTAAGGATTTTAAGGAATTTAAGGGGCCTTTTAATTTCTTAAATCCTTAAAAAAATCCTTAAATCCTTAAAATCCCTTAAAATTTTGAAAGAACATGAATCATTTTCCGGAAAGAGGCAGGCCCATTTAAAATTTTAAATCCTTTAAAGAAATCGTTAAAAATCCTAAAAATCCTTGAAAGCATCCCTGGCCTTTCAAAATTTTAAGGATTTTAAGGAATTTAGCGCCTTGTAAATTTCTTAAAATCCTTAAAATCCTTAAAATCCTTAAAATTTTGAAAGAAAATTAAATCATTTTCCGGAAAGAGGCAGGCCCTTTTAAAATTTTAAAAATCCTTAAAATCCTTAAAATCCTTAAAATTTTGAAAGGTTGGGGCTTTCAAAATTTTAAGGATTTTAAGGAATTTAAGGCCTTTTAAATTTCTTAAAATCCTTAAAATCCTTAAAATCCTTAAATTTTTGAAAGAAAATTAAATCATTTTCCGGAAAGAGGCAGGCCCATTTAAAAATTTAAAAATCCTTAAAATCCTTAAAATCCTTAAAATTTTGAAAGGTTGGGGCTTTCAAAATTTTAAGGATTTTAAGGAATTTAGCGCCTTTTAAATTTCTTAAAATCCTTAAAATCCTTAAAATTTTGAAAGAAAATTAAATTATTCTCCGGAAAGAGGCAGGCCCATTTAAAATTTTAAAAATCCTTAAATCCTTAAAATCCTGAAAAGTTTTGAAAATCCCAACCTTTCAAAATTTTAAGAGTTTTAAAAGATTTTAAGGCATTTTTAAAATTTAAATGCCTGCCTCTTTCCGGAAAATAAGTTCATTTTTTCTTTCAAATTTTAAGGATTTTTAAGGAATTTTTAAGAAATTAAAGGCTAATCCTTAAAATCCTTAAAATTTTTTAAGCCCCAACCTTTCAAAATTTTAATGATTTTAAGGATTTTAAGGATTTTTAAAATTTTAAATGGGCCTGCCTCTTTCCGGAAAATGATTGAATTTGCTTTCAAAATTTTAAGGATCTTAAGGATTTTAAGGATTTTAAGAAATTTAAAAGGCCTTAAATTCCTTAAAATCCTTAAAATTTTGAAAGCCCCAACCTTTCAAAATTTTAAGGATTTTAAGGATTTTAAGGATTTTTAAAAAAAAAGCAAACAAAACAAAAAAAAAAAAGAAAAACAAAAAAAAAAAAAAAAAAAAAAAAAAAAAAAAAAAAAAAAAAAAAAAAAAAAAAAAAAAAAAAAAAAAAAAAAAAGTTAATGTCTGCCCTTTCCCCGGAAAAATCTTTAATTTTCTTTCAAAATTTTCAGGAATTTAAGGATTTAAAGAAATTTAAAAGGCCTTAATTTCCTTAACAATCCTACAAATTTTGAAAGCCCCAACCTTCAAAAATTTTAAGGATTGTTAGGATTTTTAAGGTTGTTAAAATTTAATGGGCCTGCCTCTTTCGAAAATGATTTAATTTTCTTTCAAAATTTTAAGGATTTTAAGGATTTTAAGGAATTTAAGGATTTTAAGAAATTTAAAAGGCCTTAAATTCCTTAAAATCCTTAAAATTTTGAAAGGCCCGGGCTTTTAAAATTTTAAGGATTTTAAGGATTTTAAGGATTTTTAAAATTTTAAATGGGCCTGCCTCTTTCCGGAAAATAATTTAATTTTCTTTCAAAATTTTAAGGATTTTAAGGATTTTAAGAAATTTAAAAGGCCTTAAATTCCTTAAAATCCTTAAAATTTTGAAAGGCCGGGCTTTCAAAATTTTAAGGATTTTAAGGATTTTAAGGATTTTTAAAATTTTAAATGGGCCTGCCTTTTTCCGGAAAATAATTGAATTTTCTTTCAAAATTTTCAGGATTTTAAGGATTTTTTAAGAAATTTAAAAGGCCTTAAATTCCTTAAAATCCTTAAAATTTTGAAAGGCCTGGGCTTTCAAAATTTTAAGGATTTTAAGGATTTTAAGGATTTTTAAAATTTTAAATGGGCCTGCCTCTTTCCGGAAAATATTTAATTTTCTTTCAAATTTTAAGGATTTTAAGGTTTTTAAGAAATTTAAAAGGCCTTAAATTCCTTAAAATCCTTAAAATTTTGAAAGCCCCAACCTTTCAAAATTTTAAGGATTTTAAGGATTTTAAGGATTTTTAAAATTTTAAATGGGCCTGCCTCTTTCCGGAAAATAATTTAATTTTCTTTCAAAATTTTAAGGATTTTAAGGTTTTTAAGAAATTTAAAAGGCCTTAAATTCCTTAAAATCCTTAAAATTTTGAAAGCCCCAACCTTTCAAAATTTTAAGGATTTTAAGGATTTTAAGGATTTTTAAAATTTTAAATGGGCCTGCCTCTTTCCGGAAAATAATTTAATTTTCTTTCAAAATTTTAAGGATTTTAAGGATTTTAAGAAATTTAAAAGGCGCTAAATTCCTTAAAATCCTTAAAAATTTGAAAGCCCCAACCTTTCAAAATTTTAAGGATTTTAAGGATTTTAAGGATTTTTAAAATTTTAAATGGGCCTGCCTCTTTCCGGAAAATGATTTAATTTTCTTTCAAAATTTTAAGGATTTTAAGGATTTTAAGGATTTTAAGAAATTTAAAAGGCCTTAAATTCCTTAAAATCCTTAAAATTTTGAAAGCCCCAACCTTTCAAATTTTTAAGGATTTTAAGGATTTTAAGGATTTTTAAAATTTTAAATGGGCCTGCCTCTTTCCGGAAAATGATTTAATTTTCTTTCAAAATTTTAAGGATTTTAAGGTTTTTAAGAAATTTAAAAGGCCTTAAATTCCTTAAAATCCTTAAAATTTTGAAAGGCCCGGGCTTTCAAAATTTTAAGGATTTTTAAGATTTTTAAAATTTTAAATGGGCCTGCCTCTTTCCGGAAAATAATTTAATTTTCTTTCAAAATTTTAAGGATTTTAAGGATTTTAAGAAATTTAAAAGGCCTTAAATTCCTTAAAATCCTTAAAATTTTGAAAGGTCCGGGCTTTCAAAATTTTAAGGATTTTGTGGTCCTTTTAAAATTTGGAAAACCCCTAAATTCCTTAAAATCCTTAAAGTTTTGGAAGGCGAAGCAGGACCGTCAAATAACGCATAAAGGTCCTACATACATATATATATATATATTTGTGTGTATTTATACACCAGGCCCACACACCCCAAGCCCTAAACCCGACACCCCGCTTTGAGCCCCAAGCCCAAGTTCCCGCCCACCCTGTCCGAGCCTTTCAAAATAGCATACCCTGCCGGAGTGGGGGCAGAGATGAATTTGGAGCTCGATACCTGGCAGCAGCATCTCTGTTTCAAGGGCGGTTGAGGATTGTAGGTTATTGTTACCCTAAACCCTAAACCCTACACCCTACACCCTACACCCTAAGCCCTAAACCCCAAACCCCAAACCCTAAACCCTAAACCCTAAACCCTAAACCCTAAACCGCGGACGCCCCCCCAAGTTCTACATTCCCTCATCGTCCTCCTGATGCCTCGCTGACTTGAAAGGCTGCATGCCTACCTTGCTCCACAAGGTCCAGGGTTTAGGGTTTCGGGTTGAGGGTCTCCCTTTCGTGGAAACCCCCACGCGGCTCAGGGTTTAGGATCTAGGCTTGGCCCCTTCTCGCCTCCTCGGCCCAGCGCCTGCAAACCCTGAAACCTCAGACTCGAAAAGCCCCCCCCCCCCCTAAACCCTAAACCCTAAACCCTAAACCCTAAACCCTAAACCCTAAACCCTAAACCTCAGACCCCCGGGCCCCCACCGTTCTTACAGTAGGGTTTACTCGGCGCTGTCTCTGAGTCTGAGCACCTGAGCGCGACTGTGAACCAGCACATCATCGGGACCACGCCCCCCACTCACTCACGGCTTCCGAGGGTCAATCCGCGCCTAGGGTGAAAGGAAAATCACCAATTGGCTCCTAGCTAGATGTGACAAGACATAAGCACTAGAGCGACCTGCAAGTTCTCACCACGTAGGGATGGAGGGTCGCGGTTCGAAGGCCTTGCGATTGTTACCGTGATGCTGTTTCTCGCCAGGTAGGTCCTCTGAGCACAACACCGGTATTGGCCTGGGAGGTTCATCACCGACCGGGCACAAATCTGCAGGAACGCATGCATAGCGACACAACCTTCTCTCCGCGTCAGTTGGGCGTCCTCTCCGCCTCTGTTCCTTGATGAGCTGGCCGTCACGGGCATCAAGCTCTCTAACATCCTCAATGCTCAGAGGATGAAAATGGGCCTGGAGGAACGTAAGACAACTTCGCGACCATACACCCAAGTGTGCAAGCAACTTCCGACGCGTCGCAAACTGCAAGCTGCAAGCACAACAATTGTTCGATGGGCCAGCAAAGAACCTGCTCCTCGAAGTAACGGCATGTACGCGATTCGCATGTGTGGCAAGTTGCCTCTTGGATTCAAAGGGCTTATCGCACACGGGGCAACGCAGCCGGTCAACACAAGCTGCAACATCAACTCCAACATCAACTGTATCAACGGAAGGTGACCCGAGAGCAACTTGACTCCGCTGACCCATGAGATGGACATGCTTATGCAGTGCCTTGCGGATTTGCAGTGCAAACGAAATGCCCGTTTTACTCGCATGGATCCAGTCAACGAGGGAGCCACGTGCGAGGCCAAGGTCCAAACATCCGAGCTGGGCGGCCCAGCTGAGATCCCGGCGAACCGCCTCAATCCAAGAGAGTTCATGATGCAACTGACCTAACAGCAGGTGCAGTCCTCCATCCTCTGAGAGGGCCACATGATCAAGAACTTGGCATCTCGCAACGCTGATCAAGGAGTCGGGATGCGGAACACCGAGATAACCACACAAGGCATGCAACGACCATGAAGAGGCTGCGTGTCTGTGGCCGTCTGGTAGGAGCATGCGGTACAACGCTGCCGTTCCATGCCTCCAAGCCTTGCTCTCTCTGATCCGGAGTTCCTTCCAGATCCCAATTTGGAATGTCAACTTGTTCCCAACGAGGCCATGGAAAAGCTCAACCCTAGCGTACAGCGGGACCTGCTGGGCGGAAAGGACCGGCTTGCGCAAAGCCACAGCTTCAGCACGGGCTGAAGCAAGGCGTGCTCGAATCTCGGGAAGCACGGACAAAGAACGGTCGAAAAGACTCCCCAAATGTTTGTAACAGTTGGTGAAATGGACACTGTGTGTCCCGTCCAGGGCACAATAGCCGAGTCCTGTATCCCACTCATCTTCAATACGCATTTGAACCGCTTGCGCCCGCTCGCCGCGGAAAATTGGGAGGACCTCAGTCTTGCCCCTAGACGTGTTCAACACCAAACCGTGCTTCCCAAAACAAGTGTGAACCAATCCGCAAAGTTTCTTCGTCTTCTGGAGCATGAGTTCAGCATTGGAGTCGGCAATAAGGAAAGTGGAATCATCGACCCACGTAGGGCACGAATCAAACACATCATCTCCAATTTTTGTCCACAATCCTTGCTCATGCGCATGCTGGCGAACCTCCTCCAAGACATGGGCGCACAACATAACATAGAGCACATCTCGTAAAGGGTCCCCTGGCCGGGTCCCTGCCCAGGAGTATCCCATTTCCTGACTGTTTTGAGTGACGAACCACGAATGGGTGAGCGTATCAAGAAGCTGCATGCGCAAGAAACTTGGCACCCCAACCCTGGTCGCCACGTCGCCCTCTGACACGATGTCCCGAAGCCACTCTGCGTATATCTCGGGGATTTTGAGATGGCGCATGGCGTAAGCCAACTTGTCATCATCAAAAGAGTGACCAAGCAACAGGGGCCTGAACACACTGTAAAACGCAGACCGAATGTCAACAAACAAGGCAGCTGCTGACAACCCCTGTTCTTGCGACCACCATGCAAAGGCTCGGACACTCAGAGCAGCAGTGTCGAGCCCCCGACCCGGCACCGCTCCGGCTTGAGAAGGCAACATGCTCTCTTTGACGACAGGCACGAGCTCACTGCGTAAACAGGAGTGCCATTGCTTTCCGATCGTGTTGGCGAGCAAAATGGAACGACTGTTTGAACAGTCTGCGTGCGCGCCTCGCCCTTTGTATAGGGCGGCCAACAGTCCTCCCTTGTAACGCAATGGTTCTGCACAACACATGGACGTTTTCAATATGAGGCTGTATGTGGCACGCGCCACTGTTGGTACTTTCACGCGCAAGAGCTCAGACTTGATGCCATCGGGCCCGGGATGTTTGCGCAACTTGGTTTTTCTGAGAGCCTGCTCCCACTGTACCAACGTCGGAACACATCCGCCAACCGAACATATGCACTCAACAGCACTCCGCTCATGCCCGTCATGCGCCACCATCGGCAACAACTCCCTCGGGACAACTTCGGCAGCCTCGACCTGGGCAAAATGCTCTAACCAGCGATCGGAAATCTGCTGCGGCGTCACTGCCAAACTACCATCCTCTAGGGCAACCTGAGGGAGGGGTCCCCCCTTCCGCCGCACATTCTTGGAGGGCGGCCGAAAGAACTTCAGGGCTTGGTAAACTTGACGGGACTGGTGTTGCGTCATTGCCATATGGCACTTCGCCGCCACTTCCTGAAGGTAGTTTGCCTTGTCGAGCTTGACCGCAGCCCGTACATCGTAGCACGATTGTGAATACACGCGCACTCGCACTGCATGCTGTCGACGCGAAGTCTCCAACAAGCCGGTCAGACGCTGCGCCTCATTCAAGGAACCATGCCATGCTTTAAAGGCCCTTGACATCATAACCCTGGCGTGACGCTGGTCATGTTGCACAAGCTGCGCCTTTAACGAGCCCCGAGCTTTGATCAACGCCCACGTTTGAGGGGAAATGTAAGGTTTGATGGGTCTCTGTCGGCGCCTAGCAAAGACTTTCTGTTGCACATGCTGCAGATGCCGAGTGAGGATGTCGGCATGAAGATCAACGCTGCACTCCCATTGAGGTTGGGGGCACGCATCCATGATACAATCAAATACTTGCACGTTCGCAACGTCCCATTGCCGCTGCCGAGTTGCCGATTTGCGCCGGCCCGCACGGCCGAAAGGCACTCGACACTCAAGCACAACAGGAAAGTGGTCTGGCGATTTCTGCCCGATGTCGACCGAGTACTCAACGCGAGACTGAACTACACATCCGAAACCCCAGCAATCAGGAATCGCTATGTAATCATTTCGGTGGTGGCTTTGGTCACGGACAGCAATGAAAGTGTGTGTTCCTCCAACGTGACATTGCTCAAAAGTTGAAGGAATCCACATGGAGTGCTTACACATGAGATCTTGCAGCGCAACACCGTTGACATCACACTCTTCTGCTCCCACACCGCCAACTTGATCACAACCCGGGGCACCACCACGGGCGTTGGCATCAGAGAGGAAAATCATCGGAATGCTCGGGCTCGCAAACTTGGCGAGAAGGTGATCAGTGGCATCCCACCATTCTTCACATTCCCTTGTGCCCCTGCCTCGATGCGGCGCATGACACACACATACGTCAAGCTTGATACAGTCAGAAATGCACCGCACAAACAAACGTCTCGGATCGGCATGCAGTACTGCCAAGTGACGAGCTTGAAAGGGTTCTCTGGGAAAGGGGTCAGGCCATTGCCTAGAGATCCACAGAGCAACTCCCAAATTGCCTTGGACTGAACCAGACTGGATGGACATGTATCTTTGGTTTGTTCTGATGCCGGCTCCGCCCAACCGTGTCTCTTGCAACCCAACGATCGTCCACCCCTGCGCTGCAAAAACCTCTTGCATGAGGTTAATCTTGGCTCCTCCGTAGAGTCGCTCATCAGGATCAAAGCAGTCAGCGTCAAGAGCAGTCTGCACGTTATATGAAGCCAGTGTCAAAACACCCTCATGCTGCAGGACGCCGTTACGCTGCGTATCTAAACCGACTTCGGTTACACCAAGCCGGAGGTCAGCCTCTGCCGTCTGCTTTGGCTTCGATACGATTCTGGATATCATCATTTCAGCCGGGGGGAGGCCTTCTTCACTGCGGGGGGCCAATGCCCATGCCCAGGGTAAATTCTCGCCACACAAGCAATCCAGGCACTCATCCGGCGTGGGAGTGTGGCAGGAACCAATCGCGGCAGCTTTGGCGCAGACATCAGCAAGCTCGTTACCGCAACACCCCATGTGAGCCTTGGTGTGGCAAAACTCAATCAAACGGATTCTTTCAGCCAACAACACCAGGTGTCTAACTCGCATACACCATTCAGACGCTGCTCGCGAGCCTGAGGAGGGCTGCCACTCACCGCTAGCCGACTTGCCAGCACGCATGGAATCATAATGCACGCGGAATTTCACTTTCAAAGGGCATGCCATGACCCACATGATGGCATGGGCAAGTGCCTGGCATTCAGCCACGCAAGCTGCATCAAGCTCGCCTTCCTCAACTCTGACCCGAGAAGAGTGGTAGCCGACAAACTGAGTGGACCCATCAATAGCGTGCTTCCAAACGTTGAAAGATGCGCCGGCACTGGGGCACACGTCTCCTGCCATAGCGGAACCGTCAACGTAAACGCTGATATCCCGAACTAACGCATGTGGAAACACATCTGCGCGAGCAGTGCTGTGCAGACCAGCAACGACAGCGCTTGGAAGGGAGAGCCTACTGAAATCACACGAAAGGCTCCACACAGCACTGGTCATGCGGCAAATTTGATGCCTCAGCAGGGCGCATGGCTCAATCTGCTGGGACTCCCAAGTATCACGAACATAAGGGATGAGAGCAAGATGTTGGCAACATGGCTTACCATGGGACACAGCAGTGCGTCGACACACCAGAGTCATGCCATGCGCGAGCGCTAGGTACCCACAATCCCATGGAACATCAAGGTAAAACAGCCGCCCATTGCACACTGCAGCTTTACACACATCGAAAGAAGTGGCATTGACTGGAACACATACAGGAACTGGTTGCCTGTTGTCGTCGAATGCAACAATCACACACACATGCGCGGATGGACAACGAGCAGTGTCAACACAATGCAGTAGACCAGTGCTTTCGAAGGGCGGGTGGACCGGTACCAACACATCAGCATCAACATATCTTCGCGCAGCTCTGGTGGCATACCCACTCAATTCGCTAGGCTGCGCTTCCCTTGGCGCTTGAAAGCCAAAAGAAGGTAAGCCTGGAACCCACACCCAGAAGGAAGAGTTGGCACACTCTTTCATCTGACACTGGGGTATGCTCGGCACACCGGCCTTGACATCACACTCAACAACACCTGAGGAGAATTGAACATCAACAGGTGACGCTGATCTACACTGCGCCTGTTCGAGCTCAATCTTCAACCGGGCTGCATGCGCGCGAACTCCATTCGTTTCACTGCGTCGGTTCTCGACCCAGCACGCAGTATGCTGCGACAGGTCACCCACATCGGCGTTGCGTTCACCAGCCATCTCGGGCAAACAATCGCCAAACCGGGGAGATTGGGGCAAGGTCCGAAGCTCCTTGCAAGTCGCACTAGGGCTAGGTCCGCTGTGGTGACCTTCATCGTGAGATTGGAAAAAAGCACCCTGGCTTTTGCACGGGTGATCTACATAAGGACCTATGGTCACTCTCTGCTTGGCGTGAGGATCAGGGCACACACACCCATCATTCAACCGAGATGGCTCAACAACCCCAGCACATGGGCTTGGGTCGGAGGTCTCTCGATCTTCACGCGATTCTCCATGCACCGCCTCGATCCTAGGGTCGACGGTGACAACATGTACCTGGAGCTCGGACACTCTAACTGCAAAAGCCTGCCATAACGCAATGACTTGCGCCAACTGCGGCCCCACAAAGTCCGGCGCTCGAAGAATGGAATGCCTGCGAGGCGGTCTTGGATTGGCTGTGCCACTTGGGCACAGCAGTCGGCTGCATGGCCGCTCAACGCGTCCTTGGAGAAGGAAGCGGAGCTTCTTCTGCCTGAGGGATCCCGTCCGGCTCCTCCCCAGGCCTATCGAGGGTGCGACTTGGCACCCGCTGTAGGCTTTGGCTCTGGCGTATCCACTTCTACAACCTCCTGTCTGACTCTTCTCGGAGTTCTCTCCCTTTGGCCCTGTTCCACTTGTTCTGATGCACTCTTCTTGGCTTGGGACATGAGTTGAGTGATGCGCTCTCGTTGAGCCGTGAGAGCTGCACGAGTAGCTGTTTCCTTGCCCTCCTCGTCCAACTTGAGGTCGTCCTTCTCGTCGTCCGTGTCCATACTTGCCATACCTTCTGTGGGCGTGATACCATCCTTGGCCAACCTCTCTATTTCGTCCGTAGCCTCTTGCAGTTGCACGCGCCACGCCTCCTCTTTGCTGTCCATTTCTCCCAGTACACGGTCCTGTTCCGCAACCTGGGTCTCCCAGATTTCGGCCAACTGTTGGACATATTCCTGCCATGATGCTAAATAGTCCTGCCTTGCAGCTTGAAGTGAGGAGATCTCCCGTTTGGCTTGTGCCTGAGATGACACTGCCTTGTGTAAATTCTTCGTGGCCTGCGCATGGGATTCTTTGCCGTGCCGGTCCACGATATCCTTGATGTTGGCAGGAAGCTCTTCTCTTGAAGAGCGCAGCTGATCCAGCAATTGATCCAAAACTTTTTTGTCCTGAGACTCGGCAACTGGAGCTGTAGCAAGAGCCTGCTTCGGAGCTGACCCTGGTTTGGGCACAGGGGCCTTGGGCAACTGACTTGTAAGCGGAGCCGAACCCGATGCCGTTTTGTCTTGTTGGCCACCTGGCGCCCTTGGCAAACTTGGCTTTCGTCGCCTCGGTGACTTGGGCCGTTTCCAGGACGCAGCCGAACTCCACTGTTCGCTGTGTCTCCACGGCGGCTTCGAAGCCGTCGCTGTATACTGCGCATAGCCTGAGCCATGGCACGATGCGCTCCAATGAGCGCCACATGCTCCACAAAACTCCATGGAACCCTTGACCCACTGTTTGCAGACGCACTGCCAGGAAGGTGCCGACATCCTTGAAAAGCTGTGGTGCTTCGCGAGGATTTTCTGCGCAGTGATAATGCGCAGGGGACTGGGCACTACCCAGCCAGCTGCCGCTGCACGTAGCAACGTCCTTGCACGGGTTCTGAGGCGCCGCAATTTGCGGTGAGTAGACGTTTCGCGGAGTGCACGCGCCACCTTGATGAGTCTCAATGTCAAAGAGGCACAGTGGAAGCAACAAACAAAGAATGCCCGTCCAGTTTTGCATGCACGGAAACAACGGTCAATAACTGGTGTGTAACGGCCACTTACGTGGGCAGGTCGATCAAACGACAGCTGGCCAAAAGTGACCTTTGAGTTCGGAGATCGCGCGGGCAACGTCCACAGACTTGCCACGCTTGGGGTTCAGGATGGCTCTGCGTGGACCCGGAGGAGGAAGCTACGGGAAACTACACACAGAACTCGAACCTGAACGCCTGACCACGCCCCCCAAGCAGTAGTAGGGTTTAGGGTTTAGGGTTTAGGGTTTAGGGTTTAGGGTTTAGGGTTTAGGGTTTAGGGTTTAGGGTTTAGGGTTTAGGGTTTGGGGTTCACGGTTTAGGGTTCAGGGTATGAAGAGGCTGGGCGCCTGAACGGGTTGGTCTTGCATCTGGAGCAGGCGCTGTGCCCCCGCGCGCCGAATATGGCTTCCAAAGCCTGGATGCAGGCGGCGAAGGTTCAAACGATACAGAGCCCTCCGATGTGCTTTACAGATCTACAGCCCTAAGCCCTAACCCCCAAACCCTCAAACCCTGGCCACACAAGCCCAAAGCCTCAGGTTTAGGGTTTAGGGTTTAGGGTTTAGGTTTTAGGGTTCAGGGAAACAAAGAGATGGAAACGCCCAGAGGACTTGACCCACTTTCTTTCCCTCGGACCCCTGAATCCCGCGAAGACCTCAAACGCGACACGGAGCTCAGGGACCTGGATCAAAAAACCCTAAGCCTAAATGAGGGTTGCCGAAAATAGGGTTTAGGGTGTAGGGTTTAGGGTTTGGGGTTTAGGGTTTAGGGCTTAGGGGGGAATGTCTAAATGGAGGTTCATGGGGTACTTGTAGCCCCAGTTATAACTGCACTTATGAGCCCCCTAAGTCCTCTAAGTAGGTTAGAAGTAAACTTAGAATGTAATTGGGGTCTAAGTACCCATGAACTTCCGAGGTTGGAGTTTGGGACCCTAAGCCCTAAACGCTAAACCCTAAACCCTAAAGCCTAAACTGGGTTTCTGACTGCGCCGGCCTCATGACCTTGTCATCACCCGGATTTGCGCCATCGCCAGCAGCCGCGGAAGCATGCCCCTCTTCGGTCCAGGTCTGCGTCTCCCTAAACCCTAAACCCTAAACCCTTAGAGTTTAGGGTGTAGGGGTTTAGGGTTTAGGGTTTAGGGTTTAGGGTTTCCCCTACACCCTAAAGCTCTAAACCCCTAAGCTCCTAAACCCCTAAACCCTTCGCCCTAAACCTCTAAACCCCTAA